TTCAGTTCCCGCCAACTGTAATCGCTGTCTTTCTTTCTCTCTGCCTGCTTCGTCTCCGCTATGTCTCTGTCTCCACTACTGCTTCGACTCCGTCTCTCTCTCTCACTGTCTAGCGCACTTATATACGATAATACTGCCTGTTCTAGAAACTTCTAAGACTCTCAACACGTGCTACCAGCGTCAATTGACTCCTGCTGTCGCAACGCACTAGCGAATCTTCTAGAATATTCGTCACGTGACCCCGCTGTGGTAACAGACTAGCGAATCTTCTAGAATACTCATCACGTGACCCCCACTGTCATAACAATATTTTCAATTGTCTTAATGTACGATGTCAGTTAGTTGATCTCAATTCTGTATGCACACATATATATAAATCATACATTACAGCAATTGCATATATCTTTTCTAAATATATATAGAACTAAGGGTACCTTGAACAAAAATAGTCAATGAAGAATGTGCAGTAACTAAGTAAGAGAGAAAATTTACAAACATGGGAAATATCAGTATAAAAAATTAAATCTGGAGAATTTCTAATGCTGTTTAATTTTCCTTTTAACAATTAAGATGTAACATAATAAGATTCTTTGGAAACTATTAGTGGTACTCAATTTGACTATTCTAAATATGACAGTGTTTAATTTTAAATCAAAAGTTATTGAAAAAAAAAGTGCTAAAATAATTTAGAAATTTAATTACCTACCAAAAATACATGGATTTTTACACAAAAATAATTTACAATAAATAACTGCCATTCATAATAAGTATGCGAATTGGGTGTTGCTGATTGTCAGAAGGATGTTGCTATTTTAAAAAAGATTTAGATCTTTTGGTTAGTTGGATGAATAACTGGCAGATAGCTTATAATAAATGCAAAGTAATGCATGTGGGGTATCCTGATTTAAGTTATAAGTATAATATTGATGGGAATAACCTTAATAGTGTCATGAAAGAACGGGATCTTGGTGTAATTGTTGATCAGTCTCTAAAGCCATCCAATCAGTGTGCTGTTGCTAGTGGTAGGGCAAGTAGAATTTTCAGCTGTATTTACAAAAATATTAAATATAAAACTAAAGAGGTTATAATTTCATTGTTCAGGTCAGTGGTTAGGCCTCCTTTGGAATTGTGTACAGTCTTGGGCACCTTACATTAAGAAGAGTATTGAATTGTTGGAAAGGGTTCAAGGAGTATTACTAAGATGATATCTTAAATGGAAAGGTTGTAATATAATACCTCTCAAGTTTAATGAGACCTAATGTGTTTAAGATTATTAAGGGAATTGATAGTATCAATGAATCTTCTTTTTTCATGTTTAATGGAGAGAATGGTAGAAAAAGGAAACATAAATATAAATTTTGGCAGAGTTGTAGTCATCTTTAGCTTAGTTTTCTAAAATGGTGGTTGGCCTCTGGAAGGGGATGCCTTCAGATGTGGTGGATGTCATAAACATAAGGGAAGGCTCAATAATTATTTAAGTGTTCAGGGCTAGATTTGGGTTGTTTTGTTTTTAAGTGGATGAGGCAGCCCCAACTGACCAACAGACCACGATATGTTATAGTAAGCTAACATGAAAGTTTTTGAGAGTATTCAACATACACTGATACAGTATATTTATTAAAACCCAGCTTTTATTATGGCTTTGTAACATAAAAGCAGAAATATTAACTCATAACAGAAAAGTGCAGATCTAAGAATCAGCCTAAAAACGTTGAAAAATAAAAGGTATTATTCAATAAGTATGCTTTCAAGTTTTCCAATTTTTCCTATGGTTTCTATGCACTTTTGACATAAACACATGGTTCAGAAAACCACTAAAATTGTTTATTTCTAGTTGCCTTTGTTCTCTATAACAGATATCTACTACTCTGCTCTAGAGAACATATTGCAGTAAAGTTGCATATACAAGTTGATAGGGTCAGCTACTGTAACATCCTTTACTGAACGAATGGAAGATGTCTGTATGTTGCAGCCAATGAATGTTGTGGGAGAATGACCATTCACATAGTGATGCCATTGGAAGAAAAACAATACAAAGTTTCTTGCAAGATCGAAACCTGTGTTCTACCAAATTTTACCTTTTTTCAACATGAACAGGTCAAAAGGGATTCGTCTTGAGTGATAAAACCAGTTGATTGATTCACGGGTCCACTAGAAGTGATAGTCCACTTGTCAATGCAAGGCTTCACCCTGTTTCTTTTTGCATTATGTCATGATAAAGATTATTTTACACTGAACATCACGTGTCACAGTGTCCAGTCTAGTCACTTCTCATTGTTTAAAATTCACTTGAGTTTTCAAATTTTGATCATTCTTAAAATTTCCTGTTTGACTCTGCTGTTATTAGGTGGACCTATCTGATACTTATCTGAGAATAACACAAACTCATATCTGTCTGCAGATAAAATTCTAAACAGTGTTTTGAAATCAGTGTAAGACATTAATTTTATTATTACTATTTAGATAAGATCTCAAATATTATGGATACAACTTCATCATATACAATTTATTTATATAAGTTTCCAAGTTTTGGTGCTTACCTTCAAAGAATTTGTAAAAATGATCAAATTTATCCATAAAATCCTTTCTATTATGTCTACCATGAAGAGTGGAACTTAACTGTCCCCATTTTTTTGAGTTTTTAATACAGGGTCCATATAACTGGTCCAAAATTTCACAAACAGCAGTAAGAAACCCTGCTAACATCTGCTGATTTAATTCTGCTTGACTACAAAAAACTTCCTGTAATGAATTATCAATAAAGATTAATAAATGTACTTAGGCTACTTCTAGATCTATGGTGAATCATGTTCAGCTCTTAGTCAAATCTAACTTGCACTTATTTTTAGGACATTATCTTTCAATAAAATACAAAGCTTTAGAATAGTTTTGATGTGTTGCATTATTTCTAGTCTTAAATTATCCAACAGTGCACAATGTATTATTTAATATCTGATTATGTATCACTGATATAAATAAACACAGGAAAATGTTGTGGTGTTTGAAGTTATTTAAAAAAGTACTGTATGCATCAAAGGTGAAAATATATTATTTAATTTTGCAATTATTGGTTTAATAATTAACAAATTTTAAAAGCAGTTACTAAAGCATAATAATAATATAAACAAACAATAGTCTCCCACAAATCCACACTTCAACAGACCAAGGTAATCAAAAATGCAATATAACATTGAACGAAAAAAGATCCAACATGAAATTATACTTGTCATAAAACATTATGTTAAGCCTATTATATTTTTTAACACTACATTTTTAATCTAGTCCCTTAGAGATTTTAAAGTATTAGAAGAGTGTATAATAATTGTATTTCAACCACACTATTTCCAAAACACACTTACTTCTTTACACACACTACAGCTTTATCTCAATGAAAGTTACTCTTCTCAACCCATCTAAACATTTGTATAAATCTTATCTTGCTTGCTCCAGCCTTTATACCTCACTATATTGCCCATAGCAAGTTAAATCTTGTGATTCTCTCCACCTACATCAATGCTTCATAAATATGTTCATCCCAGACCGTACACTCATGAACTAATATAAGTAAAGCAGAATAAGATTGCTGCCCATCTCTGATGCTTCATGGCATTGAAACCCTTCCAGCCATGGGTCTGATGTACAATTCCACCAGGTTTTTGTTGAAGGACTCGTCGATGTGGTAGCTCTGCTTTTCAAAATAAGGTATTGTGGTCACCCACTGCACTGTCTCTGGTGATGCAGTCCTCTGGGGCCTTAGGGCACTTGACTCGTAATCTGTAGGTAGCGGGTTCAAATCCCCATCACACCAAACATGCTCGGTCTTTCAGCTGTGGGGGCATTATAATGTGACGGTCAATCCCACTATTCATTGCCTTCCATCTAGTCTTACACTGCTAAATTAGGGATACCTATTGCAGATAGCCCTCGTGTAGCTTTGCACGAAATCCATTACTAAGAAACAAACATCAATGCACCCCTCTCCCAGATCTCCCACTTTTTCTTGATAGCAGAATGTTACGATGACAGTTTTACATGCTTGTTGAGGGTTTCTCTTCAGTGTTGAATAGCTTTAGTTATTTTAGTTACACCTATACTTTTAGACGTCTTATTGGGTCTTGAGTTTGTCGTCTATTTTCTTTATTTTACATATAGAAAAAATTATTTCTGAGAAATTTTAGGATATAAACTCACATATTCATGTCTCTGACACAGAGTCATATAGCGCTCCTACTCTGCCACCTCTGGAGTTTAGCATTACCTGGGCAATAGGGGGAGGGCCCTTTCCGTGTAGGATGTCCAGTTCCTCATATGCAGAGTGATGGAGTCTTACGGGGATCAGGAGCAGACTGGTAAGAATTTGGACTCTATTTTCCCGGTACCTTCCTTTGCTCAGACAGCTAATCATGAGCCTAAGACGGACATCCTGCCTTTGGCAATGTTTTTGCAACTAGTACATCAAGTTTGTAATGTGTTCAGCATTACTCCTGTAGCTTATTACTCTTCTTCTTCTTTGTTTGGGGGGGGAGTCATTCGGCTGATTACTTGGTCATTCTACCTTTGATAGATATTGCTGTGCATGCTAGCACATTTGCTAATCAAGTGAGGGGGTGCTGCTAATGCTATGTCCTCCCCATTTATTGGATCAGCCCACCTTAGCTTTCCATCACTTGGAGAAATCATATTTCGATTCTTAGAGGTTAGATCATCTTTGTTCCTATTTGGGATTCTATGTCTGATGCCACTATTCATTGTAATTAAACTCAGTTTTCCCAAGTTCGTCTGTCCCTTACAACAGTTTTGTGTTTTTCATCTTCTTCGCAACTATTGTGTGAGGCCTATCACAGGTCTTCTGCTCAATTTTCAGAGGATCTTAGTCATTTATTGATTTCTACTTTGTTAAGATTATCAGCTTCCACTCTCTCCTTGGTCTCTTGGTTGGTTTCTTGCTGGGATCTTTTGGAGAGGGATGCCTTGGTTGAGGGAGTTCGACTTCTTTCTTTGGCCCTTAGAGATGTCAGAGAAGCTCTTTTTCTCAGACATTCGATTTTTGAAGGTATTCCAGATTCCATCAAATCTAGGGTGGATGTGGCCTATCTCCACTCTTCTCTTTCAATCCTGGCCTCCCACATTTCCTGGTCTTCTACCGGAAAGTTTCCTGCATCTCCCATTATGGCTTCCAGACCTCCTGCATCGTCTCCATGTTCTATTAGAACACAATGGAGATTTCACGCTTATCAGTGGATATCCACTGCTTGTGTGAAGCACAGACTATGTTGCTGGTAACTACCTTATGGGGTCCAGTCCTGTGGAGGCTTGACTCAGATGGTTTGTGTCAGTATGGGAGACTTTTGCCATAGATCAGTATGTCATTCAAGTTCTTATGAGAAGATTGGTCCTTCATTTCACATCTCCTCCATTGTCTCTCATACAGGTTGTCTTTCCACTCCCAAAGGAACATTTGAAAACCAGTTGTCAAGTGCAAGCCATCCAGTACCTTCTGCTCAAGGAGTCCATAGAGCACATCAACTCCTCTCTCATGGGTTTTTATTCCTGTCTGTTTGTAGTACCAAAGAAGATTGGCACTAGGCAACCTGTCATTGACATTTCTCCCCTCAATCATTTCCTCCAGCCTCCGCAGTTTATGATGGAGTCCTTTCTTTCCCCTTCAGTTGCACTTTTAACACAGTCTATGAATGACAAAAGTTGATATTGCCAATGCCTATTTTCATATTCTGATCACGGATTATTCACGTCATTATCTCTGTTTGGTGCACAAAAGAAAGGTTTTTTTCAGTTTCACGCTCTACCATTCGGCCTCGCATCTGCTCCGTGCGTCTTTTGACGAATAGTTAGATCCTTTTTGCATCATCTTCACTCATTGGACATTCACACTCACCATTATATGGATGACTGGCTTCTCTCACTCCTTCCCACCACTATTCTTACTACCACACAATACCTAGTCCATTTAGGGGTATTTTTCAATTTTCCTCTCAGTTGGGCCCAACCTTCTCCTCTACACCTTCAGGCCATGGAATAGACCATTCTTCTAATACAGCTGTCTCTTTCTCCACTGGTGCATACAGTTCAATCTCTTTTGGGGATGTAGTTATCCTTGGAATCACTCATTCCTATTGGATGGGGTCCACATGCAATCCCTTGGTAGTTGTTATGAACCTGACAGAACATTTGCACAGATGCATTGGATTGTCTGACCAGGGGCAGTCTTAGTCATTCAGGAGCCCTGGCCAGAATTTAGTAAATGGGGTCCCATAATGATAAGAAAACTCAGAAGCAGATTAAAAGACATAGCATAGGGGGCCTTTCTATGTGTGGGGCCCCAGGCAATTGCTTGGATTGCCCAATATGTAAGATCGCTTATGGTCTAATGACCCTACTTGCTTCCAGCCTGTTTGATCTTGGCTGGTGGTTGGACAGGGACACAACAGTATGTGTCCCTCTCCCATTTCCCGTCCAGAGATACATCTTTTCATGGATGCTTCTCTATAGGGATGGGGATATTGTATAGGGGATATGGAATTCAAGGGCCTCTGAACAGAAGAGGAACCTTCTCTCCGCATCAATCTCATAAAGCTTCTAGCAGTTTAATGAGCGATGTTTCAGGGTCTCTCATTGTTGTGAGGAAAGGTGGTAATGCTTCACTCAGACAATTCCACAGTAGTCTCATACATTTCTAAGCAAAGGGTCACTCACTCCAGGTCTCTTTGTTTTCAAACATTGGATATTCTCTCTTGGACCTACAACCATTAGACTGTTCTTCTTGCTTGTCATGTTCGATGTGTAATGAATTTAGTGGCCAATCAGTTATCTCATCCCAACAGGGTTCTTCCCACGGAATAAATGCTTCATCCACAAGTTTTTCGTTGGATCTACTCTTGTTTCAAGACTCCTCAAATCAATGCTTTCACCACACACATGGGAATGCCCAGCTCCCATCCTTTTGGTCTCCTGTACCTCGCCCCAGGGCTTTGTGCATAGATGCTCTCAGCCAGGATTGGACAGGTTCCCTCTGAATCATTTGTTATCCAAAGTCCTTGCGCTGATTCACTCCTCATCCTGTAAAATTCTTCTGGTGTTGCCACATTGGCTGGCTCAATCTTGGTTTACACTCCTTCAGTATCTTCAGGAATGCTAACCTATTCTCCTTCCTTTCTGACCATCTCTCTTACATCAGCCTGGGTCAAACATTTATTTCTGGTGATCACCATTCCTCGATTTCATGCCTGGCTTTTATTCCGTCCATTCCACAACATTAGGGATTGACCTCTGAGGTGGTATCTTTATTTACACAGTCCATTTCGCATTTTTCTTTGGACGTTTATCAACAGAAATGGTTTACTTAATAGTTAGTGATCTCTCAGAAATGGTTTTAATCCTTTTCGTTCCAATGTGTAGCATGTTTCTCAATTTCTGACATTGACATGGTTATTTGACAAAGGTTTGGTGCCTTCGTCCGTTTATCTGTATAAGGCAACTTTGTTAACCACATTCAATTTTTCTAGAAGACAAAGGTTTTGAGTCCCCAGTTTTGTCCTTTCTTCTGAAATTTTAGCAGGTTATCTATCCTCAGTCCTTTCTAGGTTCCTAATTGGTATATCACGGTGGTTCTTCATGCCCTATCTCATCCACCCTTTCAACCTTTGGCATTACGTTCCCTATATCACCTTATTCTTAGACTTAAGACTTTTCTTTTGTTGTTGGCTAATGGATGTCAACATTCAGATGTGTTTGTGATTCATGTTCACAGGATTCTTTAGCATTCCACTTGTACGCAGATAAGTCATTTCTACCCAAAAGTTCAGCAGCTAGAGAGGCGATAAGGCTTTTTCTCCTATTCATCTTCTTCCATTTCTCATTATTATGACCTCTCGATTCCAGATTGTCTTTTGTACACAGTTCAGGCTCTCCAATGTTAGGTTGTGTGCACTAAAGAGTTTTGGGGTTCATGTACCATTTGTTTCTTCATTGGGATGCTACAGTGTTACGTGACTTATCCCCTGTCACTTTGACAGGTTGGATTTGTCAATTGGTTTGTATTGCTTACTCTGGGCTTTCATTGGAGGAGCAGAGACTTCTTCAGGTCTCATCTCATGAAGTTCACAAAATCTCAATGTCCCTGGCAGCTCAGTTGCATCGCCTGTTGGAGGAGCTTGTACAGTACAGGCTGTTAAGTAAGCCATACCTAATACATTTATATCTCATTATTTATAGGATTTGGTGGTTGCCTCCTCAAATGGTTTTTGGTTACACCTCATGGTTATTCTCCATGCCCTGGCTAGATTGTGAGGAAGGTGGGTGACTTCATTTCTTTTGTGTTTATTTCTATTCTTTTTTCTGGGACCCTCCTGACATTTTCATATGGATCCTACTAAGTGGTATGTGATGCCTGGTCAGACATGCTTCTTTCCAGATCTGCACTAGCTACCAGTCAACTGATAAAAAAAAAGATTTCCTGGAAACAATGAGCTCTGTTGAGATAGGGTGTTCCATGAGACCACCTTGTGGCTTTCCATGTGGTAAACAATTATATACACTACTGAATTGCCACTTATGGACTATCATGACTAAATCATAATGTGATTTTGCCCATCCCTGCTGACCCCTGGACTGAATAAATTGGAGTCAGTTTGCTTTTCAAAATAGGGAACTTGGTTCACCTACTGCACTGTCTCTGGAGCATCATTCCTCAAGGCTCCCTAAGGCAAGTTATTACCTAGTGGAGAGTGAGAGTCATTACTGCTCCCAGTTTCTAGTAGCTGGGATGGTGAACAGAGGCCTATTCCTTTTTGTGATGCTTTTTGTCTCTGTGGCTCTTCAGCCTTTACCACGCAGGAATTAGATTTCACATTGTTCGGGTAAAGAGCATACCTGTTCCAGAAGCAGTGCAGACCTCACTGGTGTCCTATTACTATATCTCATTTGTGCACACCTCTTTTCTACTGGCCTCTCCACCTTGTTAATGTGGGATTCTAACTATAGTGTGAGAAGATGCGTGTTTTGGAAGTTAAAATTTTCCTATACAAAAAATGTACTTTGAATAATACTGATCTCCTCACACATTCTTCCGCTCTTCCTTCCCACAATGACCGTTGTTTGGATCTGCTGATTTGGACAGTCTCAAAAAAGTGAATAGGAAATAAAAACGGGGAGCTTATATACAGATCTGTGATAGGGACACGCTGACGCAGGTGGAGAGAATCACAAGATTTAACTTGCTATGGGAGGTAAGTATTATCAGAAATACATTTTCGGTATAGGAAAATGTTAACATTCGTCATATCCATTATTAATGAGGCATTTTACTCAATTCAGAGTTCTTCAGACCAATTGGAATGCAACTAACACAGTAGTGGTGTGAATATTATTTATATAGGCCATATGTTACAACCAGAGTTGGTCCTAGGCAAAATTGTGGTCTCTGTGAACTTTGTATTCAGTGCCCCTGTAAAATTGATACTTGTCACAAAATCAGTCCCACCCATGAATATCGCAAGTAGATAAAAAAGAAGAAAATCTGGTGTAGTGACACCAAGATTTATTAAAGGGTTTTTGCTGTGTTGGGATATATAACTTGTTTATACAACCTGACTCATTATCTTTAAAAATTAATTTAAATTAACACTTCCATGAAGAGAATGGCAAGTACTCATGAGTGAGAGAGAGAGTTCATTTGCAGAGAAAGGATGGTTAAGCAGGAGAAATTTTGGATCTAGGGAGAATCCTCTCCAGGACATAGGACTGTCACCAATACTATGAAAGTCAATAACATTAACTTCCCTGCAACTGCTAACTCATGAAGATCTGCCTGCAGCATGCACACTATGTAAGCAGGCTGTGCAGATGGCCGAGGCCTGCCAGAATGGTGGTGCACCTGATGAGTATGAGACCATATGGAGAGGTCTCTGTCAAACCTCAGTTCATTTCCACTCATAGAACAACAACCCAGGCTCTAGTCAAAACCATCAGTGACGAGTGGACAAAGGCTGGATGTTCTGTTGTCAGAGAAATACAGCCATTTAACTGTTTCTCTAACAGGTAAGGTAGTAGACACACAGGTGAAGATCATGGCCAAAGTTCTAAAGGAAATGGAGAGTTTCACTGGCAAGTCATTGGCAACTCTTGACAACTGGAATTGATCAGACTGTATGACAAGCCACTATGAGCAACTTGTCACCCTCTAGTCATGGACCATAGAATGACTGACTACCTGTTGGGGTGGCAGAGTGCCAGCGAACAGCCTCCAGGAAGAGTTGAGATTATAGGTAACACCTCTTCTCATCACTCCTCTGGATCAGTATGAGAAGGAGAGGCTTTGTACTGGCACACAGAGTCTGTTGAATGATACCAAGCAAATCATGCCCCAACTTTCAAGGAGACCATGAAAGAGGACTTGAATCATTCCCTAAGACATTTCAGACAAGCTACTACTTGGAATCAATGAACTCCCATGCCAGGAAGAAATATCCACACATTCCCAAAATGAAAACAAACTAGATATTACACTGCTAAGCAATAACAAACACATCACCATAGGTGACCTAAACAGTAAAAACACTTGTTTTGGGTGCAGGATCATTAACACAAATGGTGGACATCTTCTAGATTTCTTGGAAGATTCCGATACTACTTTCTTCAATGATAAAACACATACTAGAGACTACTATCATATCAGTAATATCATGGTCCTCTGTATTTGTTCATCAATCTAACTAAATAGTTTTATATCCTTTAATGTTGGAGAAAATTCTGACAATGATCATCTACCAACATAAAATGTCTCTGACCTCTCACTAAATCTAAATAACTTGGGTTATACGTAAAACTTTAACTATTAAAAAGCTAATTGGTAAAAGTACAAATAGATGCTTGATGTTCTTCTTCAAGATGAAACGACCGAGGATCCCTCGAGATAAGTAGATACTACTCAACAATCTCAGAGTGCCTCATAAACACAAATGACAAGCACATACCAAATTATCAGACATAACCATCCATACCATGTGGAGCCACATATACAACTAATCAATAAAATACAAGAACAAAGAGGATTAAGAAATAAATAAATGAAAACAAGAAACCAGCAAATTAAAACAAAAATACATGGGCTCAGAAATCAAATAAAGATAACAAACACACAAAGCTGGGACAAATACTGTACACAACTAAACACAAAACCAATCTTAAAGATTTCTGGACACATTGAAAAGCCTCACTAACATCAACAAAACAAATAACCACATCTATCCAACACTAAAACACAACAGAAATCTGGCATACATCAATAAACAGAAAGCAAACGCTTTCAAAGAACAACTACAAAGCACATTCAAAACACTTTGTGAATACAGTAAACACCGCTGTAAAAATATATCAACACCAATACAAACCTAACTTCACCACAAACATCTAACAAAGCAAAAATGTTGCAAATTAGTAGAATGTTATATATTTTAGTTGTTTTTTTTACAAAAGTAATTAAAGTGTAATTTGAAGTGTAAGTCTTCAAAAACAAATAAATTACACTTCATTAAATATTCATAAGCCCAGCTAACTAAAAATATTCTAAAAAACAGCTTTAAAAATAAAATAAAAATCATAAAATCAAATTCTAACCAGTTTTTAAATAAATTTTATAGCTTTCTAGTATTGGAAGCATATTCACAACATATATGTGTACATTTACAACACACATATATTGCAAAATACACAAAATATAAATAAAAATGTACTAATTTTCATGCTACTTATTTTTTCTCACTCTCACCTCTGGTATATTTCGAGTTGTAAGCTCAATATCTAATCTAATTCGTATGAAGTATACACAAATTCCATCAAGAAGAACATCTTTCCCATTTGTCACAATAATCCTTGGTATCAATTGAGATTTAGCTGGTGCATTCACTACTCTGCCACATTCTGTTAAAAAATGTTATAGCTTATAAAATATATGGTATTTTATTTAAACAAAACAACAACAACACAAAAACAAGACAGTGCTTAAAATGAGATTTTCATACTCTTATCATACAACAACATTTATGATATTACCATGCAACAGACAGCAGGGCAATACTTCAAAACTGTAAAAGTAGTGAACTTTAATCAGAGTCACTTATATCACAAGAATAAGACCCTATGATTAAAACAATTAAAAATGGATTGAGGCTAGACCATGTCATGTAACTAGGTTCATTCTCCATGTTGGTTTAAAGAACAGTTGCTGAATATGTGCTGTAAGTCTAGTACACTGTTTTGGAGACTTATTGAATCATAAACTTGATTTTATTCATTAATTTCTGACAGAACTCTCAAGTTACTGATGTATTTACATGCTGTTCACTTCAAGAAGGGTCTACATAATGCATCAGAAAATCGTTCAAAATTTGCTTTATTTACTTAACGTATTAGCATTACACCTTCAACAAGAACATTTTTTGTAATGAACTCTATCATTTACTTTGTACCTGCTGCACTGGTCAAAGTACTTTTCTCCCTTTCAGGATTGCCCTACATTTTCTGGGTAAACTAAAACACATACAAAATCACAGTAATAATTAGTGGGATTAACTGCAATAATGATGGTATTTGTCTTTTGCAGGGATAATGGGAACAATCTTTTGCTGAAAAATGGCTACTGGCCATCAGTTGTGCTGATGTGATTTCACTGAGAACACTGCTTTTCTTCAAATATTCTTATGTTGCAGTTATTCCAAACCACATACAAATGCCAGAAGCATCAGTTTCGAAGTTGACCTGTACGTGCAAAGTCTCAAAATGCTAAAACGTTACCAGTGCAGAAGGTGAAAATTGAATGATAAGATGCATTACAAAAAATGTATACTCCTGATGAAAGCATAAAGCCAAAGCATTATGTTAATAAAGAAAACTGAAAGATTCTTTGGAGTTCACAGTAGTTTCATTTATTCACATTGTCAAACCCTTTTACAAAACTATAGGATACAAAGGTAAGTGTATGAAAACACTACAGAGTGATTATCAAGAAAATCTCATATCTAAAATGATTGTACCTTAAAAACATTTTGTCCTGGGTAAACTAAAGTTCACTACTGGCATGTTACGAATCAAAACTTTTATTTAGAGAAGTTTGAACATGCTTTACAAACTCACAGAATAAGCCTTTGTTATTCAAAAGAATTAAACATACCAGGTCCAGGTGGCTCTGCAATTTGATAGAAAAACATCAAAGATCTTGAACCTCTTTTCTTGATGAATTTACTGCACATTTCCACACCCTAGTTTAAAAAAAAAGAAAAGTCAGTTGTGACAAGAAAGAACACATAAGAATGTGATACATATAATGTAGCATAAAAATATTACTTTCAAGCTAGCTATCTGTATTGAAAATGAAGCAGAGGAGAATTGAAAGGCAATGATCTGTAGCAGTGGTTCTCAAACTTTTCACTCTTCTGTACCACTTTTTTAAATGAAAATAAAACATAAAACAATGACACCAATGTTTCCATATGCACAATCATTTGATTTGTGTGTAAGGTTCAAATAAACACATTTTACATGTTTCAGTGGACAGCATCATGGTTTATAGTTTAAAAACAACAAACTAAAAACCTAGTAGCAAAAATTAATAGTTTTAATCCTTACCCATTAAAGGGAAGGTTGTGATTGTTTTTTCTTGCACAACTGAAGAATATGTGGTGCAGTTTTTGTCAATTTGAAGGGATGAAAACACTAGCAAGTTCATGCAGCCATAGTGATGAAAGTATTGTGTATAAGTACACGAAAAATGAAGTTGAGCTCATTATAAATTAATAATTTTTATAATAATTTTTCACATACTACCAACACTAGTTACAAGTGGCATAGTTTGAAAATCCCAGATGTACAGGATATATTCAGCTGCTAAGATGAAGAAAGATTTTTAAAAATTTATAACTAAATATTAACCCTGAAAATAAATAAAGAATACATGTGGACCATGCTTCTCTAGATGAATCCTTAATGGTTAATAGTTCAATAACTTCCAAAGGTGAGTTTTCTGGCTAATTTAATGTGATATTTTCAGTGTTGGTGTGAACACAGTACCGTGTATGTACACAGACCAACAGCTGACCTGAACAGGGAAAACATTAGCAAAGAGAATAGCCCTAAATATTGCATCCCCTCCCCACCCCCCCAGAAAACTAGTTAACTAGTCCATGGTAGATACATTGGTGGGGCACTGAACAGCCCAGTTTGGAGCACCTGAAGAGACCTACATGGACTATGTAGCTAATTTCAACAGAAAACTGTTCTTTTAGTTGAATAGTGTTGGTATAGTGAAGAAGTGCACTTCACCATATCATTCCCAGTCTGACGGTTTAGTGAAATGGGTAAAAGAGGTTGTCAAGCATATTGCTTGCTAAGTTTGTTAATATCATTCAAACTGACTGAAATAAATATTTAACCATATGTCACAATGATGTATTGTGTAACTGAGAAGAGATCAATGATTTTCTTCATGAAGATTGCTACCCTTATCAGAGTGGCTTCCATTCTCTGCAACTGATGGTAGGATTTCACTTGGAAAGGACTTGTGTAATGAAAGGAGTATTTTCATTTGTGGATGTAAGAATTTATTTTTGCATAGCATAAGTTATGATTATTTTAAAAGGGTGTTATTTCATGTATTTTGTTTTTCATTGTTTAAAGGGTACTGAGAATTGCAACGTGTTTCATTGTTTAATTTTCATTTTTGCCTAAATCTTTACTTTTTAGAGTATTGTGACTTGTAATGTGTTCCATTGTTTGAAGGTTATTATTTTTGCCTGATTTTTGATGTTAAATTGTATTTTATCTATTTTCATTGTTAATTGCTTTTTATTTTGTTTTGCCTTGTTTTCTTGCATACTTTGCTACACTACCATGGGGGCATAATGCTGTGAGGGTCAATCCCACTATACAATCATAAAAGAACAGCCCAAGAGTTAGAGATAACTCCTGTTGGCTACCTGCCTTCCATCTAGTTTATCACTGCTAAATTACGGACAGCTAGTGCACATATCCTTCCAGTAGCTCTCTCCTAAACAAACCCTCCTAAATGGGTAAATTATATTTAAGGATATTTCATTAAAGTCTATTTTCTTTGTTTTTATTATTTATTGTTTAGAAGTATGTGTAATTTGTTAGACTATCCCTTCTTTATGTGGGTGGGTAAGTTGGAAACTGTGCCTTTTTGCCTTTGTGTTTGGTAGTGTTATGAAAAATGGTTTTACTGAAACAAGATGAGCTATACCACTTTTAAAAAGGCGTCAGAGTTTTATAATGTGTGTGACCACCATAATAAACTGATATTAGAACTTTTCACACTTAGTAAATTAATGCTTCAGTGTTGTTATGTTATTATTTTACATACTAATTTAATCTTTGATTGATCAAAAACTTATAAAAAGTAAACTTTTGCAAAATGACTATGATTATAACCAAAAAAAGTATATTTTATTCTTCTTCTTTACCAGAAACAACTCATTATATTATTCAAAGGTATTTAGTTATTAAGTTCCTAGTCCCTCAAAATATATCTTAGGAAAAAATATAATATAAAAAAGAAAAGGGTTTTTGTTAGAGCTAAATGCTTATGTCACATTAATATAATTGTTTTTAACACTTAATAGTTTACATAAACCAAATATTAATCACATTATTGACTGAAAATAACTTTTGATTCGCCTGTCATGATAAACTTGTGAATAAAATCGTAGTAATATGCATAATTAGCCAATGTGATTAACAAATTGCATATTATTATTGTTATAAATTAAAACATATGCTTTAACCTTTCTAGTATCTAATACATGTTCTTCCACAGTAGAAGGATCTAATTGAAGCCTCTGTGCAACCAATTCAAAAATATGTCGATGAGATTCACACAAAACTGATTTTCGTCTTTCTCGATTTTCTTTCATCCGATGCTAATAACAGCAAATATATATATATATAGAGAGAGAGAAGAAAAAAAAAGGAATTATTTAACTTACAAAAGCTTGTTAAACACGTTATAACAAATACGGCAGTCAAAATTCATAACAAATTGTGAAAAGTTAGTAAAAATTATGTTGAACTTTCAATAGTTACTAGTATAATAAACACAATGCTGTGCTGCCAAATTTTGAGGACCGAGACAAGAAAATAAATAAGGCCCATACTATATGTACATCTCAAACAAGGTAGTTTTTTATTATACTTCTAGTGTAATGCTAAGGTTAAGTTTTTTGTTTTCCTAGTGTATTATAGCCTAATGACAAATACATGTTTAAATTATAAAGGTGTAATTTTTGAATAAAAATCGCTTACTTCGACTATGATTTTTCTCTACAATAATTAATTTTGTAAATTGCAACGTAATGATGTATCAAAAAGTTGACTGCCTCTAATAAACCTTCTCTTTGAACTCTAAGCCGCTGGTCAGGTCAAGGTAGCTGTCCTTTTTATAGTTTTTTTTCTCCTCTTTTTTGGGGGTTAAGGGGGAAGGGCGTGTTAATTTGTTTTAATGAAATATGTTATAAGACTTCCACACAAAAAAAAGAAACAAATGTTGTATTCATCTAAATCCGCTCGATCTAAAACTTCATCAAAACTATATTTTTTGAGCTTTTTCGCCCAAAAAACTAGGTGATAATGTCATCGTAATTTATTCTCTTGCAACCTCATTCTCAACAAACAAGACTGTAAGACCAGTCAGCCCTTCTTGTCACATGTTGGATCATAAATAATTCTTGATTATAGTTTCGTTTTCAGTTTACTTACTGATTAAGTATATTTTATAACAAGTTACAGCTTTTATAGTGAGTAGGATTTGTTTTTGGCACAGGTACGACGTTT